CACCTGTAATCCCAGTACTAGGGAGCCTGAAAACAGGAGGATCACTACAGTCCAAGTTGCATAGTGAAACACTGTACAAACTACATTAAAAACAACAACGTAAAGTCTATCCTAGTCAAGTGAAGAATAATAAAGTCCTAAATAAAAAGAAAATATCATTTTTCCAGTGACAAAGTGTATTGATAACAATTATTTTTCAAACAAATCTATAAACTCAATGTGATTCCAACTCTCAACATTTTCAGAGAACTAGACAAGCTAGTGCCAAAATACATACGGAAGAATAAAGTCCCAATATCATGCAAGATGACACTGAAGAAAAATACAAAAGAGGAAAGCCCTTCATTACAGATACAGTATCAAAAATGGTACAATACTAGCACATGTTCAAAAACAAATCAGTACAACAGGAAGAGTCCAAAACAGATTAATGAGTTCATGAATACATGCCAAAGGATAAAATGGACTATTAATCAGTAAAAGTTGACAGATTATTCAATAAACAGTGTAGAACTGCCTAATTATCCATATATAAAAACATAAAATTATATCCCCACTTCATATTATTTACAAAAAATAAATTTGAGTCTCTTCCCTAAGTGACTTACAAATCACATAAAATGCCAAAACTTCTTAAAAACTTGATGAAAAACAATAATCTACTTTTTTAAAATGATACACAATTTTCTAAAAAGATTTATAAGAAGACAGCAATAATACTGGTGTTTATGGAGAAACAATCTGAGTAGCTAAGAGACAGAAATACTACTTTTTATAATATGTATTTCCTTTTGTAACTTCTGAATTATGCATCATACACATGGGAAGAAACTGGTCTTAAAATAAACAGAGTCATCCAATAGTGAAATCCGTTGACCTGAACTTAGATATCCTTACACAGAGACTGAGGCCTTCTAATGCAGAAATTACTAAAAGAATTTTGTCAGAGGGTAGAGATGATTAACTCTTTCAACAGCCTGATGTCATGAATTCATATTCTTCTCCAACTGTCATACATCATTTATAATGTCCAAACTATAGGGCCAGCCAAATAGCTCAGCAAATTAAAGTGCCTGAAAATAAATGTATGGCTTTGCCCCTGTCATGTTTCCTAGCTTTTCTCCTTGTCCTTTCTTTGTTGTTTAATCCTGAAATTTTGGCTTTCCTTTTAATTGTTATACCTTTCTATTTTTACTTCTTTTAAGTTCTTACACTAGGGAGACGACGATATTTACACATGTGGGTCTGGTTTATTTCACTTATGAGTATATCTTCAAGTGGCATCCACTTAAACATAAAGGTTTCAAGTTTATCATTCTTTATAGCTGAGTAATACTCCACTGTATAAAAATGCCACATCTTTTGAATCCATTCCTCAGGTGACGGGCATTTTGGTTGTTTCCAAGATTTGGCTATCAATGATGTAGAGTGTGCCTAAGGAGAGTCTCATGGAGAGAAAACATTCTCTCAGGCTTTCACAGAGAACAAATTGGTCAGGCAATGGCCATGACTCATCTGCATGGCTGACACTGACAAAGGATCTACAAACTGTAGCACAGGGTTTCAGGGTAAGTCCTGAGGGGATCTGACTGACTTTGGCAGATACAAAAGTTACATTTCTTGTTATATAGGTCTTGCTTTACCTTGGCCTTAACCATCTAACAGAAAAGTATAAAAACGAAGTATATATATGAATATACAAAAAGTATAAAAAGTAAAGCCATATTAATATGCTGAGCTGTAAAAGGCTCAAGTCACCAACTTCTGTTTGCCGATCCTACGGATAACCCACTACTATTATGGACTACTGGACTATATTGGATTATTTTGCTGAATTCACGCACCTACAAAATTTAAATGACAATGGAATAGCTATCTCTGACGAAACTAAGCAAAAAGAGGGGACACAAATGAAGGACCATTTTGTATCTGTATATACAAAATAGGATAGACATACAGCTACTTTCTCTTAATTCAATGAGAAGAAAGATTTGTACTGATAGGGTTTGGACAGGATATCATGTCTGTATCTTGTACTATGAATAACCACTTTGAAGACAACAATATGCAATGTAGTAATTATTGAAACTATCCTATTAATCGGTTTTGAAACTGTCTCATTGCTATTTGTTTCTCAATGAAATTAATAAAAATAAATTAATTATTTAAATTAAATAAAGCACCTGCAAGCAGGCACAGGGGCCGGGGGTTCGATCCCCAGGCCTGCTGTGCTGGCCTCGCCCCCAGGGCGCGCTGAGATGGCAACTGAGACTGGGCATGGTGGCACACGCCTGTAATCCCAGCTCTTGGGAGGCTGTAAACAGGCGGATCACTAGTAGTGAGACCCTGAACACCCTGTAGATCCTTCCCTAAAAATAAAAAAAAAAAAACTACAACCCTAGCTTTGATAACTATATGTGATCATGAAATGCAGTCAAAGACAATCCCATTCCTAGTATTAATAGCTACTTTATATCTTACAAACAAATAGTATATAAGCCAAGGACCCTTACACAGTAATTTAATGTCTCCGAGTAACTAACACAGTCACTTCATATTCATTCATCCTCATTATACATTCACCAAGCAGCATACTTAGCATACAGCCAGCTTTATACTGCACCCAAGAACTTTTATCTCACAAAAATAATATAGCAAAAGTAATAAAATATCACTTCTGTGATTTGGTTCTGAAAATCTAACTTCTGTCCAGCAAATACACTCTTTATTGTCTTCTCTGCTTAAACACTTTGATGAAACAGGCTACCAGGATGAAACCATGGCAAAGTGAGGGCAACTACTAGCCAACAGCTAGAGGAGAATTGAGGCCATTCTCACATCAACTTAAGGAAACTGAATCTTGTGAATGAAAACTGGTAACATGTCTGTACCCAGTGAAGTTTTAAGATAACTACAGCCCAGATAACAACTTGACTGCATGTGTCATAAAATTATATGTATTCATTGCAACTGAAACCACCAAAATAGCTTGAGATCTTTTAGAACAAGATAATTACCATTTAACCTTCTAATATCTAGTCATATTGGACTCCCCTTTCCTGCAAAAATAAAATTAACTTCCTCCAAATATTTTCCTGATAGTCTA